TTTTGCCGAAGCTCAGACTCTGGCACAGGATCGGGAACGTTGGAAGCAGTGTCTGACGCGTCTGCCTCCGAAAGGAGAAGCGGCGATGGAAGATGAAGATGATGAAGAAACAAAAGATGGTTTAAAGCCTGAAAATTTGTTTAGTAAATGAAACTTCCATAGCCCGCAACAGTGTTTAGCATTAATTTCTTCAGCAGCAATCAATTGTGAAGATGGCGTAGCAACAGATCACAAAGACTAGCAGGCAATATTTAACGCATTGTAAGTAAGTAGTACAACATAAGCAGAGAAAATAGGAAAAGAAATGATCGACATGAAAGATAAAATGGGCAAAAAGGGGCAGAGATAAACGGAATGGAAAAGAAAACTAAATAGGAGAATAATGGGTAGTAAGAACTAGGTTATTTGAGAAGAAGTTCCAACTGGATGAAGGATTTTTGAACCTTAATCCTCCTCTACACAGTCTACACCAGTTTCTTTGATGCAGGCGGATTCGCCTAGCATCAGATCGGCAGTGGTAATGTGACGGTGTAAGATCTTCACATCAATGCCAGCAAGGCAGTGTGGATTGTCAAAAAAATGCTTCACAAAACAGAATGTACACAATAGCTGATGAAGCGTGTTCTACCTAAATGCCATATTAAAATAATCTTCGTTATGGCAACGACGATTAAACAGAATCGATCCTCGATTCGCTTGCAGACCCATGAGGTATATGAAAAATCTAATGTAAAAAACGAAAAATAAAACCTACCTATAAAAGGCAGATGAAAGAGGCATGCAATATCTCTGTGCTTCAGATTCCCGGTTGTTGTTCACGACTAACAGCGGTTAAAAGTATGCTATTTGCCTCACGCCGACATTGGTTCATGGTGAGTTATTCCGCTGCATGACAGCCGACCGATTTCTCATGGTCGTCTTGCGAAAATTGCTAGTTATGTGCGAAATAACGAAAGCGATGACGCCTGTGACACCGATTGCTCGAGAAGGTGCCGCCGCCATGACACAAACAGGCAAGAAGCTCTGCGGCGGCGCTAGTTGCTCGAAGATGAGGGAGGCGGAGGCGGAGACGGAGACGGAGACGGAGATGTAGGCGAACGAACGAGGCGCGACACGACTTTTTACGATCGGTCCAAAAACTTAGAACCACTTTAGAACAAGTGTTTGCAAATCTTTCACCGTGCTTCCCGTTTTTCAGCTCCCGTTGACCGTGCTATTGCCGTTTTTGTGCCAATGCTTGTAAAACGATTTTTATGCATGTTTTCAAGATCAATTATTTACGCTGTTCCCCGATAATCAGTGGATAATGCCAGACATAACTGTTCTTCAATGGCTCTATTAAATACAACAAATAATTTTAAAGGAACGAAATGAAATTAATTAGTTTGCTAAGTTTCGACGCTCTTTCTATTCTTAGCCTATTATTGGAATAATAAATAAACGTTCGCTGTTCGGTCGTTGTAATTATCACAGTCAATCAATAAAACCTAATGGTCATCACGGAGGCCTCAGACAATTTCGATATTTAACTGCTTCATTGTTGGTGAGCCTGATCGAAACTGAGTCGTTTATATATCCTTTTGCACGTCTCTGGGTCGCTTTAACAGCGTCGAGAGCTTCGTTACATGGCCAAGCAGAGCAAATCGGCGGCGATCAATTAGGTCATTGATAAATTATAAGGGAGGCTAAATTAATTTCTTTATGTACTATGTTCCCCCTCTTTTCAGCCGTCTAATAAGTTGACCAATTGTTGCGAGACGTTTACTGTTTTTTCGTCTGAATAAAGTTGCTTTGCTGGTTACTGTTCTCTATCTTTGCCATCTATATTGCAGGCTGTTTTCATGTATCCCAACTGAATCGCCGGCGGCTGATAATACGGCCTATTTTGTCAGCCTTTTGTGTTGACAGTCGTCTTTAATCCAGTATTATTCTACTCTAAGAAACTCACCCCTTCCTTGAATAGCCTTCAGGTATTGCGTGGCGATCAGTTGTGAAACTTCTCCGGCAATAGACGCTCAGCAACCGGTAGTTTTACTATTTGTTTTCCTGTTAAATTGCGGTAATAGCCTATGTCATTGGGCTGAGACGACAGCTGTACAAATGAGTGCTTTTGCCAACGTTTGGCTGCATGTGTCTGTTGCCACAGAATCGTTAGATCTCACACTGAAAAACGAGTCATATGATCCACATGATCTTTGTGATAGCATAATGCATTATCGCATTGGGTCAGCGCTGATGTTCACTCTTTCACTCTTCATGCGTCGTCCTCACACTTTATGTAGGAACTTATTCAGTGCCATGCAGCAGGAGTAAGCTGACCGAATGGATTTAGCAAGTAGCTTTTGGCTGAATGTACTGTAATGATCTTTGGAGTATTTTGGTTTAGCTGTCGAGGTGGCATCGGAAATGCATGCTTTTCCTACCGTCATACATAGTTGATCTGTTTGGTCAATCATGATGCTTTGGAGGTAATGACAGTCTGATAGAACACGTTTAACAGTCCTTTACTACCTTCAAGGTTTGTACGTTTTAACTGTTTGTAACCTTTTGTGCAATATTACTCTTTTCAACTAGGCCGAAATGTTGAAAGTATTAACAGTCTCTTAGTCGTGTTAGATCTGACTTCCATTGATTTATTCAAACTGTGGAAATTACTAAAGTTTTGCCAAATAAGTGGTTTTAAAAGCACGCTATTCATAACAGTCGGTTTTTATTGCATTATTACCTCTTTTTCTTTTTCACGAAAGTAAAGGAGCCCATTTGAGCTGGTTACGATTTACAAAGCAAGCAAATTTGTTTAGTATAATTAGTATAAGATTACCTTATTTCATCTTAAAGCTCTCTATTCCTTTCATTTTAGGGGAGGGCATGTTCATGGAGGGTTTTTCACCAAACCTTGTCCACCAAAACGGATTTTAGATTGCCATACTGCATCGTTCTCACACTGGTTCCCAACGAACGCTTTCTGAACATTAGGCAGGGTGGTTCTTGAAAAACATTTGCTACAATCCGTCGAGTTGTGCGCTTCCAAACAGTTAAATAGGTTCGCACACATACGGCCACGTCGCATTGGGTTGAACTTTACATGAGTGCGTTGGACATTGGTTTCAGAAGATGCCAACAAAAACAAGATCGTCTGCGAACAAGCAACTTTCTTGTCTCGGTTTCTCCTATACTGATAAGCTGGTCACTCATTCTGTGACTCACCATTTTCTCAATGTGCAACAAGCAGGAGAAGGGACAGAACAGAGGCTTGGCGGAGACCAAAGTCAACAATGAAAGGCTTTGCCTTAACATCATTTAAACTGGCGAAGCACCCACTATCAACATATAATGACTAGATGGCTGGAGGCAACTGACCATCGATTCTGTATGTATGTAAGCACGCCCACTGCTTGTTGCGCAGAAGTTCGTACAATTTTCCAGGTCTACAATGCACATGTAAACCAGTCGAATGCTCTGCCATAATTTCTCAACAATATGAAGGCCAAGATCTGGCCAAAGATGCTTCGGCATGATCTGAAATAACACTGCTCTTCTTAGGTCTTGGAGTCAGTTATTTCGAGGGAGCCATTTTCTACTTTTCATCCTATATTCTTGCCTTGCATGGACTTTAACTGAGATACTCAATATGATAATAGACGATGATGGGGACACATCCATATCATAATATTGCCCCAGTCCTTCAGTCCACTTGTTTATTCTCCGTAGTCATCGCAGTTTAACAAACAGTTATTAACCACGACATGGTAAATCCATGTTTGCCTTTAACTTAAGACATCTCAGGAAAAATATCATTGCATGGATTCCAGCAGTCTTGCCAACATTTATCTAGTGAAAGATCAATATCCTTTTCTTGATGCGTTCAGACGAGTTTCCCTGAGCATCTTGAGGTTAAGAAGTTCATCATCGCAATCTCGCTACCGCTAGAGTAAATCTTCTTTTTAGTAAGAATGAGTCCAGACTTGTTTTGCGTAACTCTGACTGCCTCTCTTTCTGTGTCCGACGTAGCAGATGCCTTGCCAAAATACTTTTTTGTTGTCTGGAAATTTGGCTCATGCACATCACCGAAATTTTCCCATTTCGCTTAAGCCACTTCCTTAGCTGCTGCCCTGAGCACTTGCTCGCAGCGCATTTGAGTTGAAGGACCGTTACTTCCCGTTACCTCTTGAA